TGGAATTTATGGCTTGTATGGTTGACGGAATGTACCCAGCACCAATGATGGGTGGTAAAAAAAACACACAAAAACCTGAGATAAGGTGCTAAAGTAGAGTAAAATGATAACAAAAAAGTGCTTCGATGATCGTCGATAGGGGACCACGTTGTCGTATGGGAGAGCGTGTGATAGCTAACTCGCAAAAGTTGCGAGTTCGGAACCTCAAGCAGATGAGGATTGTTAGAGAGAGAAAACTACAAAATCAAACAACTGCTGCCTTGTAGGTTAAACCAAGGCAATGGAAGTAAATCCAGAAAGAAAAGCAGGCGGATGATATGGAGCATAACATCACTTGTGCCACGCAATACATACTTGTGTTGGATTAATCCGCTTCCATATTCGAATTGGTAACACACACACAAAATAAGAACAAAATATATCAGTGAAGATTTGGCAGTTGTCTGATGCAGCAGTTTGCAAAACGTAAAAACCATCCTTGCCCCCTACTTCCATATGATATCACACAACGTTGTCGTGGTTTATCATTGTGTTGTATTGTGTGTAGGGTTGGCGTCAAGAGCCTTGATATACAACACTTTCCTTTTAATTAATTCGGTTTTTTTAAGCTGTCCTCGTTTTCTGCTTAATTAAAGTTTGATTTCCCAGATACTTGCTGGGGCTGTGTGTTAAATAGTTCAAGAAAACATCACGTGACTGACACTGGTATTTTGTTAGGTAATAAAATATGTTTTAAAAATTGGATTGTAGTTTATTGTTCTATGTGGGCGGCGCTTTGTGGGTTTGTTACATAATAAGGGGATGGTGGTATTTGTAATGATTATTTAACGTTATATAGGGTGGGGTGTCGAAACTATCACATTTAGTGTTGTGTGATACGTGCACGATCCCATACACAATATAATATTGTTGACGTTAGTTTATAAAAACAACCACAAGTTCACCCAGTGTGGGTTTTTTTCTTCTGACCTGGTATCATGTACCTCCCTCATTATTTTAACGAACTTCTAGAGTTTAGTCAAGTCAAGGGTTGTCGCAGAGATAGAATAGAGAGAGAGAGAGAGAGAGAAATGGGGAGAGAGGGGGAAAAGAAGAGAAAAAATAGAGATGATGAGAAAGATAGAGAGAAAGAATGAAAGTGATAAAGAAAACGGCAGAAAGAGTAAGCGAGATACAGAGACAAAGAGGAAGACCCAGATATGGTTGATATAGAGAGAAAGGAGGAAAGAGTGAGAGAAAGAAAAGGAAACTAGAGAGGGAGTAATGGAGATAAAGAGTGAGAAACGAAGAAAATTAGAAACTTGCAGAGGGTGACATGGTGAAAGAAAAAATTGAGAGATACAGAAATAAAACAAGTTATTAAAAAGTCTAGTGACAATTTAAGCGCAATTTCCTTATGTTATCCATAACAATTTTAAATCGAGATAAACCATATATTCAGCAAATAAATAAAGCAACACAAGTAGTTTTAATAATTCAAAACAAAATAGAAAAAATATTTATTTACGAGATTGAAAAAATAACCTATATCAACGGAAATAGTTTTATTTTAACGAGTAGGCCTACAAGATGCTCAGTTTAAAAAAGTAGTAAATATCATCCTAGGCCTACACGATGCTCAGTTTAAATGTTCTTAATTAATTTTTTGTGACCGAACGAAAGGATATTGTTGAAAAATTTCTTCGGCAATATTGGTCTAAATTATGGCAGGAATCGATTGGTGAATGTTTCAAGTCGCTAAGTGGTCTGGTTGCCGAGATATGGAGCAAAAACTGCATTTGTTTGAGTTTTTTTGGCTTTTCCGGGAAATCCAGGAAGGAATTTCGGGATTTTTTTTGGCCCACAATCATCCTAGGAACTTGCTTAACATATTTGCTTTTGGAACTAGTCCTCGATATTGCTTCGTTAAGGAGGAGATACGACTTAAAGCTGCGGACACACATCCATCCATCCATCCATCCATCCAGAAATGACGCATTATTAAACGCAATTTGCCAGTATGGAAATTGCGCTAAAAAAAGGTAGATAGAAAGAAAGTGTGAGCGAACATGTAGCCTACCTCTATACTTAACAACAGTACTCAAGAAAGCAGGATGTACCAACGCATTATTCATAAATACTTTTATCTCCTCTTTCATAAATGTTCTAAAATCGTGATTGTCTAACTTTTCTAAATATTCTAGATCATATTCTGTTGTATAAGTTTTCATTTCTTAACCTTTCCCTACTGCTATTGTTCGAACTAGACGTGGGACGTCTCGGCTATTTTTTCTGAGACGGACTTTTTGTGGGGTAAAAAATATATTCGACCCGCCACAACAAAAATTCCGGAGATTATGAAATCTCAGTTCCTGAAAGTCTAGTTTGTGTTTTTATTTTTTTTTAAAAAGACTAAAGATAGAAAAAGAAAAACTGGATCACGTGTTAATCAAAGGACGCTGTCCAAAAATTAGTTTTCGGATTAAGGTATTTATTAAAATCATCGATATTGGTCGGCCAATTATGATTTTTTTTTTTAGTTATATTGATTTTATTATACGCCTAGATCAGGGGTCGGCAACCTGCGGCTCGCGAGCCGCATGCGGCTCTTTTGGCGTACAGATGCGGCTCTCCAGCTCCTTGCACACATATTAATAGTTAAATAATTTCATTTTTCCAGTACGGTGGGTACGACTTTACCCAGCTTTCAGTGGGGTGGAAGATAAGCCTGGTGAGAACCAAAGGATAGAAGCAAACGATGCAAGTTATTCAAACCGATATCCAAGCCAGTTAGTCGGCGTTTGCCGTGTTGAGGCCTGACTGGCTAATGGGAGACCCTAATCCTAATCAAATACCGAATATTGAAATTAAAATGTTGTGGCTCTTTAAAAACTGGGAAAGTTTTGAATTCTAACTTCTGGCTCTAGCGTATCAAAAGGTTGCCGACCCCTGGTCTACACCAAATACACGTCAGTAGATATAACTTACACATTGAACCAAAACAAAACAAGTATACGTATTCACCCACGTAGGTACTTATTTACAAAGAAATCAATCACTAACAAGTTGAACCTTAAAGTCACCATGACCACCTGGTCAAAAAATTAGAAAATTCACCAAATAACATATTACAAAACTAAAACAAAACAGACCACATATTTTTAGAATGTTATTAAGAAAAGTATGATAACGATACAAAACATATGCACTAATGTTTAACATATCAAATGTTATATTGTTTTTAATTTTTATGTTATTTTATTGATTCATCTTTTTTTTAATTTTTGAACGAATATGTTCCATAAAACGGTTTAAAATATTGTGTATCCATAGTTATTTGTATATATCTTAGTCCCTTCCCATTTTAAGTTGCAATTTGACCAAGGGAAATAATTTACAATGCAGTAAATACAAGTAATAAATATTTAATAAAACGGAATATTTACACAAGGCCTTAACATTTCAAGCACAATTTTAAAAGAGTATTTTTTCCCTTACAATCATATCGACAAAAATGTATTTAGTATATCGAAAACTATTATAATGCGATTCTAGTTTAAGTAGAAACTAATAGCTTTAATATGTAATATATTTAAAGACTTTTGAAAGCTTCCGATTAATTACGATCGTTGGCTACTACTATACTTTGTCGTAATTATTTGAGCAAAACATAGTTTACTTATATAAAATCATGTAGACCAGAAGTCGGCAACCTGCGGCTCTCCAGCTCCTTGCACAAAAATTAATATTATTATTTTATTTTCAAAACTCATAACAAAAATTATACTGTAAAGATACACAAGTTTAAACAGCATAAAAACACTCAGCCCTGTGACAACAATTCCATACTTGCCGCTGCCCAAGTGCCGACTTTTTCGAATATCGTTCATTGGGGAATGTTAATTTAGAATGCATTTCCCTATCCGTCAGTAATCATTAATTTGACGTGAGTGACGTAGTTTTTGTTAGCTTCCTACTGTTGAGCCGGGTATAGGATGGTGGGGTACGAGTTTACCCCGGGCTCTGTGGGGTGGAAGATAAGTCTGGTGAGAACCAAATTTAGTGGTGACAAAAACACGGTAATCAAGTCGATATCCAAACCAGTTAGTCGGAGTTTGCCGTGCTGAGGCCTGCCTGGCTAATGGGAGACACCTCTTGAGCCGGTGTTATCCGTAAAAAAATTTAAAAAACTATTAACAGCTTCTAAAGTGGATTGGCGTAGTCCTATATTTTTATTTTTTTATTACTAATTTCATTATTCTGGCGAAACAAGTGTATGTTTTTTCATGAATAAATATTTTTTCATATTTAAAGCTATTTATTTTAAATAACAAATTGAATTTCTTTACCTAATCCTAATCAAATAATAAAATATTGAAATAAAATAACAGTGGCTCTTTAAAAACTGGGATATTGTCAAAATTTTAACTTTTGGCTCTTCCGTCTCAAAAGGTTGCCTACCCCTGGCCTAGATATTTGGCAGCGTTTTACAACACTCCTCCCACTCCCTATCATTCTAGAGTATTCTAGACATTTAAAAAAATTGATTTTTAAAAATCCTTTTGTTCCGACATTACTATGGAATACTCCTCCACCTCCTCTTTCCCTCCCCCCCCCCCCCCCTCACTTTTGAATACAACTCTTCACATCAAAACACACACATTACTGTTAAATACACCTACACCCTTTCCCCAAATATATTTTCTATATAAATAACATACATGTATGTATTGTTTTTATTTGTCCCGGGTGGGCGCGATGCACTGGGGGGGGGGGGGGGGCTGCTACCCCCCCCCCCCCCCACACACACACACACTGGAGAAATGCGTGAAAGAAACTCTGCCCACAAAGATCGGATGTAGAACACCTATCTCACTCCCAGCCGTGCCTTATATGCTCAAAGCATATCTCAAAGCATATCTCAAAGCAAAACTTCCAAAACAAGAAATTTTCCTCATTTATCTTTGAATGTACTTTAAACAACCAATAATGTATTGTCGTTTTTTTCCTCCGTTCCTTAGCAAAGAGACCTCGGTGACGTCATGTTCTCCCTGAGTTACCTGCCCAGTGCAGAAAGGTTAACGGTCGTGGTAGTCAAGGCCAGAAATCTCCAGCTTCAAACGGACGCTAAAGGCGATCTCAGTAAGTAAAGAACACCCTAACATTTTTTTTAAAACCAGAGTTATCTCTTTCAGCACGCAAGAGTGTTCTCCCCTTATTAGTAGTGTGTTCTTCGCAAAACAGGTGAAATAATCAGGCAATGTCTAATTGTCTTGGCTAAAAAATTGTATTCGCCGAGTTAACTCCCTCAGTACGCAAGAGTTACCTCCCTGTAAGAGTCACCGCCGTGTTAGGGGAGAGAATCCGGTGATGTCTAAGCGCACTGAAGGTTGTAGGAAATATTCGTTTATTCTATTTTAGTCAATGTCTTCGGATCGATAAGAAGCTGTTAACTTTGTCTGTTCATTATTTCTCTTGTCTTCCACGTTTCACGGCGACTAGAGTTGAGGTTTTTTTTTTTTCTCTGTTTGTATTCATGTTTGTGGCGCAAGATAACGCCCTATATCGTTGACATTTACTGTAAAGGTTTCGTTCAATAAGGTTAGGTCTTATTTCGTTTTTTGACACAGCTGAAGTAGAGTTCGTCTGTTTATGTGGTCCCGACGTAGGTGAAGAAAATCGTAAATCAACCCTGTAACAATAATATTAACTGTCTTATTACTTTTGTAAGATTTATTTAAGAATAGAGTAACGTTAACTGGTTATATTTAGATAACGAGTAACTCGTCTACAAATATTACATCAGTTTCCCCTCCCCTTCCCCCCCCCCCCCCCCCCCATTACAAAATTTTGACAAATTTCACAAAACACGTATCCTTGTTCCGGTATTTGTAAAGATACCCAATCAGACTTAAAGTTAAAGCAGGTGAAGTAGAGTTCATCTCTTTCCATGCCCCACCACTTATGAACGGACGATGTGGTCAATGCTATGCGCAGTTATCTTTACACTTTTACTTTCCCTAACCTGAGCCATTTACGTAACAGAGCTGGAGGGAGGGGGGCTCTGAGACGCCATACTTACTCGACCCCAATGTCCTAATCGAGTTGCCAATCATACACCCCACTGCACGTCCTGTATCCCAGTGCGCTCTAAAACAACAACAGAATCCCATTAAAGCGAGACAATTTTAAGTGCGCGCAAATCAGTTTGGTGTGAACATACCTTAAAACCGTAGTGAACGTAAATCACATAGCAATTTTAATACTGGCTGCTGTTTGGGTATTATGGGGTTTTCCCGTTTGAGTATTATGGGGTTTTCCCGAACACACCATTCGTCCCACACAACATTTAGACTTGCAACATGTATGCTATACATGTCTAGAAAGAAACTAGCAACCAGGTGTGAGTTGAAAACATTATCATTGCGGTAGTTGTTTTATTCTAGACTTGTATAATGAACATGTAGCAAGTGTAAGAGCAGTGTCAAATTTTAAAACAGTTTATTAGTCACGTTTTATGATAGCGCAGTAATTGCTGCTGAATCTGAACGATACTCGCATAAATCGAATACGGTTTTAAATATGTCTAACGCTGTTTTTTTAACACCAACACGAGCGAATATAAACACCAGATAACGTACTCAGTAACTCAACGATCGAGTACTCAGACTTGTAGAATTGCGCACGAATCGAATTCATCTATCTAATCGCCACTTCACTTTTTTTTTATTCTCTAGCGAAACTAATATTTTATCCTCTTGTTTGTTCGATACCCGCTACGAATCGATACGTCGCCTGAGTTGTCGGTTACCAGCTGATCAACGGGGCAGACAGCTTGAGTTATAATTGGGGGGGGGGGGTCGTGGCTGGGGTAATTATCTTCAGCCTGATTACACGTGTAATTATCTACAATGTTAAGTAACAATTTGATTACATATCGTCAACGATTGTTCGCGATGGTATCGGGCCCAGCAGTGATGTACACCGGACGATCCTGTGATGGTACTGTCGATATCGTAGTTCACACAGCAAAACGTCATCATTTCTATTCTAAATCCACTTTCCCATCTAAGTTTTCTTTTTCCTCTTCATCGATGTCAGGGTGCGGTTTTAGATAAGGGTTATGAGTTTTAGGGCTAGGATTAGGATTAGGCTGAAGGCTTGGATTACGTTTAGAACTTGTGTTCAGTTTAATTCTACAGTTGGGCTAGTTTGTGGTATTGATAGTAAGTTATAGAATAGCCCCAAAAAGTCCTGCTGAATTTTTCCTTTAAAATCCACCTATGTATATATGTATATATTATTTATTTATCTATGTATTTATTTATGTGTGTAACAAAGTAAAGAATCCTCTTTAGACCTAGCGACCCATTGGGCAGATGAAGTACAGTTCATGTTTCTTGACCTCTGCAAATGAAGGGAAAGTGTGGTCAGCACTTTGCCCGGCCGCCTTTACTTTCCTTAACGTGAGTTAGGTACTCATTAGAGCTGGGTCGATTCAGGGACGTTCTACTGACTTGAACCCGGATTCGAACTCGAGACTTTCGGGTTAGCAGCTTAAGCCTCGCAGTCCCAAATATATAACATTGAGTACATAACAATTTAGTATTATCAAGCCTGATTTAACAATTGTTTGATTTGTTTAGCTAACATAAACAGCTCAAGGTAATAAAGTACTAAAGTAACAAGAACTCCCCCCCCCCCCCCCCCCACTGATTATCCCTACCCAAAGCTTGCCACCGTGTCAACATCAGGTACAAGACCGGTGGTGCACTCCAATGGTCGTCTCCGTGGGGATGTATCGCCGGCACCACACGGTGTCGTAGCTGGTGAAAGCCCAGAAATCAAGGGCAGTAATTCTCGCGGATGTGACGTCTGCGGCAGGAGGGGGGAAGGGGGCGTGGTCGGTGCGGTACCGAAAGAGAGAGAAAAAAATGTTTATTTGATTTTCACCGAGCGACCAACATCACAGACACGAAGAGAGAATCAATGCCCGTGGCTGGCTCTGGAGTCATGCCATCTGCCCTGGCACCGTTCAACGAGTCTTACATTAATCGCGTGTGGTAATCGATACCTCGATCAGTGATCGATCTTGTCGCGGCGATCTATTGGTAGAAGAGGGACCCAAGTAGTAGACACCCAATTAGCCAGTCTCCCGACACTTGCAAGGTAAAACGGCGTCCATTAAATCATCGTCCAGTCGACTTTCGAGGGAAGGTCCATTAATGACGTCACAAATCTTGAGGAGAGGTGGGGTAGAGAAAGGTATACGTGAGATAAAGAAAGGAGTAAGATTAGTGATGTGGCTTTTTTGTAAATTTAAGAACAAAAATTATGAAAATTGTCGATTTTTGTTAGAATTGTGTTGCTATTTTTTTTTTTAAGATTTTTAAAAATTTAATCAGCTTTCTCTGTCGTGCTTAGTGCTTAAGGTTTCGTCATGGGTCGAAACTGGTGAGCAAAAGTTCGACCACTTCTATCGGACCGATTATTTTTAAACTTGGCACATGGGTCAAGACTTAATGATTTGTTTGTGTTAACTCAAAATAACGTACACAACATAACAACATAACATAACACAATAAAATAATACAACATAACACAACACAACATAAAAATAATATAACAACATAACATAATAAAAATAATACAACATAACAATACAACATAATATAACATAACATAACAACATAACAACTAACATAACATATAACATAACTCTGACAAAGCACTAAAGTACAACAGCCCACAAAGCTACCATGACAGTGCGGATACGTTTGATGCGAATCTAACAACTTCACCGTCTAATGCTCCAAAGCTAGATCCCCCACTTCGCACTTCCGTTTTTTAAATCGACCAATGAAATGAGCAAACGGAAAACCCAGAGTCAATCGGTACACGGGGCCATCAGGGTAGGGGGAGATTATCCCCAGGGTGGGAACTTCGGCTGTCATTTTTATCTTCGGTGCAAACGGATTCTTTCTTCGCCTCCGGGTGGATAGAATGTTTTAGAAATTGTATCAAACTTTTTTTTTTCTTTTAACCTGTTTTAAACAGCTAAAAAGTATCCACATTGGGCAATAATGTATGGATTACGTTACGTTATGAATTTTTTTCAAGTTAAATTTAAAGACAAAAAATTATGATTGCATTGTATTCTTTTTTAATTCTGAAAAAATAATATAATTTTATCCAATTTTACCAGTCATTCTTCTGTCTTTGCTTGGCCAGGAAACATCATTTCTCAGTGCGCATGCGCATACAAGACTTTACCTACCAGACTACTTTACTTTTTCTTATTTCAGTACATTGATTGGCTTGTCATTTTCGACGTTTATGGATTTATATTGTTATCCGTTGGTATAAAATATATTAAAAAGAATATAAGAGGAAGGCTTTTAAAAACAATTAGTAGCTTCTATAGTTGTTCTTTTCAAGCCGATTGTTCTTGAGTCGACTGCCGACACCAATCATGAGTTTAAATGATACTGGATCGAATTCCTGTTAACAATATGCCCTTATAAAACTCCTTCTACAAAATTATCTGCCCCTTATTAACGGTCGTTTCGACTATAATATTTGTAAACAAGGTTTGAGAACAGCACCTGACAGGTCGAATAATCGTTTCCATCCGGCTATCACCCATTTTGTAAGGGGATATCGTAATCTTGATGGAACGACGTGACCTAGCGATAGAGCGCTAGACTGCTAACCGGAAATTTTCGAGTTCGAATCCGGGTTCAAGTCAGTTGAACGTCCCTCGGTCCACCCAGCTCTGATGGGTACCTGACTCATGCCGAGGTAACAGAAACAGGTGAACTCTACTTCACTTGCCCACATCGACTGTCAGGTTTGAAATAGGAACATTTATCGTAATCTTCAAAACAATTTAAATTACTAGTTGAAATTCTAATTGGATTTTTTTTAAATGATATTCTAGTCTTGTCAGTTGAGATGCACTCGTCTGTAAAGCTAATACAAAAAAAATATCTAAAACGGGTCGTCACTGAGTTACAAGATTATATCACACCTCGCCCATGCATTGCCCTTGTGATTTTTTTTTAAACAGCTTTTAAAATGACAGTTCATATTTTAACACGCAGTTACTAGATGACGACCCTCATTTAAATCGAACAATTAAT